TTGTTCAGTTCCAACTCACAGCTGGCTGTTGTGGTTAGTTAGCAACATCATGTAGTGTCTGTAAAAGGACCTAGGATCCTTCACAATGGAAAAATCGCAACACAGTCATGATTTATAGATCTCACAGCACTTAACAAAGGGGGAGGTTCAATTATCTCCATGGAGACAGGGGGAGGCTGAGCACAGAAAGACACACAAGGTCATACAGGGCATCTCCAGCAGAGGTGGGAGTAGACCCTGGCCTCTGTACACCCAGGCCAGTGCTCTACCTAGTGGGCCACGCTGCACTAGAGGATGCCCGTCAGTCAGCACTGTTCCAGTCTACGGAAGAGCGGTGGGATCTTCATCTAATAAGCAGTTCTGTACCACCCGCCAGCAAAAATCTGAGGGGAACAAGGGCTCTCTCACTCTGTGCACAGGCAATGCTCAGGACCTTTGAGGTCTCTGGGAGCAAGGCAAGGTTTTCTGGTATGCCCCAGGAGCAGATTTGGCTGTCTGTCTTCTTGCAAAATGTTTCTCCCAGGCTGGGGCGTGGAAAAGGGCCCTTATACCAAAATCCATGGAGCATCACTGCTTTGGGGAGCAGCCAGTTCCATGATTAGGGATACAGTACAGGGACTTCGTGGCCAACAGCATTCCTGTGTTACAGCTTGCCTCTCCGAGCCTCAAACAGCAGAACATGTGAAATGAATATCCTGTCCCATCCCCCTGCAGTGCTGGGATGGAGTTTACCAGGAAATCAGAGCGACATTGTTGCAAGTAATTGAGTGCTTTTCCAGAGATAGTCTTCAGGCCTCACTGCTTTAGCTATTTCTTAAATGGATGAGCTAATTAACTTAACTAATTGCTCCCAAGAAGTAATATTTTGCTATCACATGCCCCAGAAGCATGTTCTCTTTTCCAGCATCTGCAGGTCTGTTTCCTCAGTGGACAGCTCTTCATCCTGGGCCCACTTCCCTTTGAGGTAAGTCTTGGTGCCTGCCCAGTGCAACCACGGCGAGGTCATTCTAGCATGGCTTTCTGACCTGAGCTCACACAATCTTTGAGCTTGCTTACTTGTGTATGCAAATAAAGGTCCCAATTTGTCCAGGTGTCAGATGGAAACAAGTTGGACTGCATGCCCAAGAGACCCCCAATGCTTTCCCACACGAGGCCAGGCATTTGTGACTCAGTTCCACCAACACTGAAGGCAAGTTCTGGCCTGATGCGTCTTTGTTTGGCTCTGTTTCCCACAGCTCTAAATTGCTCTTGGAGGCAAGAGAGAGGTAAGATAGCGGTGAGACTCATCTCAATGGGCATGAAGCCATGTTGCCTGGTGCCACTTAATTATTGCAGTCTCCCAGGCAGCTCCAGAAATGACTGGTTCCTGGATCTCTGTATCATCAAGTAGGGGTGTATGGTCTAGCATGTACCAATGCCTCAACAGATCTCAGTGGCTGCTGAATTTTCCAAGACCCCATGTATCCTTTCAGCTGGATTTCACCCAGCAGGAGTCTCTGAGGGGAGAGCCCTTCCTTTTACAATAATGATGGCCACACATCACTGTTTGTCACCAAGGCTCAGATCTTCAATGCTATTTAAGCTTCTAACTCCTACCACAACCAAAAGAAGTTAGGCTCCTTTGTGGCTCTGAGCCTAACTGGTCTCTCTCCCATGGCAGTGGCCCAGTGGAGTGCCACCAACACACATTGCAGATGGCTTAACAAAAGGCTCCACAGAGGAGAGCTGAGGCATAGCAGTGGTAGAGGTACTTTTACCCATTTCCACCTGTTCTACTTGCATGGGCTCTGCTTTCACTAGGTGCTACCTGTATCTGTAGGGAGAGAGTTCTCCAAGCCTGGTGATCTGCACTGTAGTTTACCACTGACACAATAACCACATGTCATTACCCCACTGATTATAAGAGGCCTATGCCTGTGCCCACCCAACCCCGTGCACAGCTGGAATAACTCCTGCGTTTTCCAACAGGGGTAAGTACAAGGGAAATCTGGCCCAAAACACTGGTCCTGCCAAAGTTGGAAGAACTCAAAACACAACACTCATGACAAGTGGAGCTGGATCCCTCCACAGCATGCCAACACCAAAGGGGAGGAGGAATGGGTCAGAGTGATCCAAGAAGCTGCCACTAGGAGACATGTGATGAGGAGGCAGTGAGGCTGAGTAAGGGGGAAATGCAGCTGAATTTCAAGCAAGGCCTGCTGGCAGTCTCCCACAGGAAGTCTTGGGTCTTTTAAGGACAGACATGCAAAGCCCTGGAGAATAAACCAAAGGAATCATGTGCTTAGCCTGTTCCACCTCCTCTTCTCATTAGAGAGGCTGTAGGAGAGGCAAGAGACTGAGGTAATAGCAGGGGACTGCCATGGGGTGTATGTGCTGCTAAACCAGCATCTTCCTGTGTGCTTGATCATGCCACTCCTAGGACCCGCAGGTCTAACTCTCAGTCTGTCTTGGCCTCAGCTCCCAATCTCTAAAGCAGACCAATGGCACTTCCCTACCTCCCAGGACATTGAGGGGCTGCCCACATTAATGACTGTACTAAAACAGCTCAGGGATGGTGACCCCCCAGTCTTATCCAGTACTCTTCTTCTATCCCACCTCCAACAGTAGCAACCCTACACTTTCCCCTCCCCTGGCACTTTGTATGCAAGGATCTCAAAGCACTTGATTAAGGAAGAAGTATGCCGCCATCCCTTGTGGAGGCAGGCACAGATGATTAGCCTGAGTCCAAAGCATGAAGAGGCCACATAACTATCTAGTTTGACCAGAGAATAGAGCATGACAGAAAGATGAATCAGAGTCAGGACTGGTCCCCAGACCTGCTGGCTTCCTGACCTGGGCCTAACAAAGGCCACTTTGTCTGAGCCGTCTAGGTCTAAAAATAACTATAATTAACCAAAAGGATATGATGTCTCTAGCCTGGCTCTCTAGTTCGTTCAGCTGAGGGCCAGGAAAGCAATTTGCCATAAACCTTGGGAACTGCACTAAGATGTGTGTATCAGAATGGAAGCTCAGTCTAATTAAACAGGAAACTGGCAGGCAGTTTCCTGATTTACACAAGAGGCCTTCTGTTAATGACCAGGTGATTCTAGCTCACCATCATGAGGATCAAAGCTCCCACCATTTTATTCCATGACAGTAGAGCTTCCCCTGGTCACTGCATGGCTGCGCTGCACTGACCATGGGGATCCCTGGCCCTGACTACAGCCTCCATCCAGTGGCAACACACAGTGGATGCACGGGGTTGCATGTGCACCACCTGAGAGTGCTGGTGCACCCCCTGACAGCAGCATCCCCAGCTTAGGCCATGGTGGGGTGGGCAAGCGAAAGCGCTGTTTCCCCCCCTCAGAGCACCAGCTGGGGAGTGGGGGCACCAGGAGAAGCAATCCCCTCGGCCCCCTCACAGCTGATTGTGTCAGCGACCCACACCCCCCAACTGCTGACTGGCCACTGGGGTGTGTGTGTGTGGGGGGGGCAAGTGCCCCCCTCCCCCAACTCAGGAAACACCAGTCATCCATGCCTCCATCTACACTGGCTCTGGATTTGTTTGCTTAGGATAATTTTCCACTTATTTTGCTCCAGTAGGAATTGCAGCCGCCAACTCTATCATCATCACCACAAACTACCCCTATGGTCTTAAGTGGTCCCTCTATACAGGGATAAAAGACTTTAAGCTTAACTACCTGTACAGAGCATATTTGAAATTAATTTCCCATGAACCCCAGTGCCAGAAACCTCACAGATTCCCATTAAGTTTCAGCATTCCCAATCAGGAAACAGAAATAATACCAGGTGATTTAAGTGGCCAAACAGCATTGAGTGATGCAGTTAGAATCTCAAAGGCTAAGCAAAGGTTGGCAAACCAGAGCCTAAAATAAATTCACCAGCATTTTAAGTCAAACAGTTCTGACTAGCAAATCTACTCCAGGGTATCACACTTTGCTCCAGGCTGACACACTAGCACAAGAAAAAGGGACAAAATCTGTCCAATTAAATATTGTTTGTGTAGTGAACATAGCACCTACCAGCCGCAAGCAAGGACAGGGTGCACTGTGCTTGCTGTTGTACAATAACACTCCTTGTCTCCTGGGCAGCTTACAACTGTGATGGACAGAGAGGAGGGGAAGCGAAGGCACAAGGGGCATTTTTATATGCACTGTAGGACATGGCTCTGAGTGCTTTAATTAGCAAGCCATGCTAATTAAAAGTGCCCATGCATCACGTGTATCAGCACCACTGCATGTCCCTGAGACAGGGCACTTTGAACTACAGCTCATCAAATGTGCTTTATCTCGAAGTGCCCCACCACAATCTTTTCAGCACAGAGATGCATGACGATGCTGATACATATGATGTGGAAGGCTGCCGAAGCTCATCAATTTTTGTGCACCAGCAGACTTGATTAATCTGCTTTGACGTGCTGGATTTCCAGTGCATTGGAGCAGGCTCCATGTATGTGTACAGGAGCTCAAGGAGAAGTTGAGACTTACTCCTAGTCATGCGGCAGCTCAGTGGCAGAACCAGGTCCCAGATGCATTATGTTCTGGGATCTAATGAATAGGCTGCTGTTAACATCGAATGTTTTGGCACCATACTGCCATGTATCTCCTCACAGGTCTGCGCAATCCCTGGTTCAAGGATCAAGAAATGTGCTCGCTGTGCCCTGATGCTTCATCACTTAGCGACCTTCATTATCACACCTGAGCCCTGTAGAGCTTCAAAGGAAGCCAAATGTATTTTTAATTAAATTCAGGAGATTTTAAAAAATAGCAAGGGTGCTGCCTGGAGGTTTTAGGAACTATGCTTTCAATTATGAATGGCGCTTTAATGAGGCCTCAGTGCCATAATGAGATCCGGGCAGGTGGGGGCTGGGCATGCTTGTCTTGGTAAAGCACCAAGGAGGCAGTAGCATTCCTCCCACACCACTCCACCCTCTTGTGAGGAGGTCAAAGCAATGGCAGGGCCAACACTTAGACTAAGACAGAAGGGGTGAATGGACTCACCAGGCGTTTCCAGCGCCGTTCCAGATCTTAAGCTATAATTGAAAACAATTTAAAGACAAAGTTAGAATTCTTTCTGCTCTAGCTCCCAGCTCACCAGGTTAAAGCAGATCAAGTAGCACAATTATAGCAGCACCCGGTGCATCGTCAGCCTGACTGAGCACAGGATGGACAGCAGTAAGGGCACATTTGAGTGGGCTGGTGTCCAATGCACAGAGTGTACATATACAGCTCATACTATGAAAATACCCAGGATTTTGCTCCATTGGTCCTCTTCATTGGAGAGAAGTGACTCTGGACCTATGAGCCTGCAAAGCCAAAGCAGGGACCCTCACTAATGTTCACAAATGCTTGTATCAGGGGCTGTTTGTGGAAAAAGTGCCCACCAGCACAAAGGACAGGTCCCCAGTGGAGCCAGGGTGACAAACTTGCCCAGAACATGAAAACTGAACTTACTCACTACAGAGTAACCTTCTCCTACCTATAAAACAACAAGGGGCATGCTGTGCCCACACTGTCCACCTGCCCGGGCTTGAGGGAGCATCTCAAGACCCTCTACCTGGCCCCAGTGTTGTGCCTAGTGGGCACCATTTCATCAATCTGTCAAACACACCTGCTTCACAGCTAAGCCTTTGCCTGCCACCCTTAAGACTGAGCGTGAGTCTGCAGTGAGTGGCTGGGTCTGGGCAAGGAAGGCAGCAGGGGGCTGGCAAGGGTGGTTCTGGGGAAGCAGTATGATGGAGAAGAGGAGACACATGGAGTGACTGGTAGAAGCATCTCCTGCTGGAGTAGCCTGGGAATTAGCTGCTCCAGAGCCACCAGTTTAGGTGGGAAAGCAGAGCATTTGCAGAATGGATGGGCTCCAGGGATACTGCTGCCTCCCCATCTAGGTTCCCCTTCAGGGACAATAAACCAGCACTTTTAAAGCAGCCCAGCAGAGAGCAACCCAGCACAGCCCACTGGACTGAGACCCCCTAAGATGGGACCAAGGGAGGATGGGGAATCTCAGGGACCAGAGACCCAAAAGTTAGAGATCACAGGATTTGGGGAAAGCAGAGCTGCCTGTTCCAATGCTCGCCCACCCTCTGAGTCAGATAGTTCCCTCCTAATCTCCAACCTAAATTTCCTCTTCGGCAGCTTGAGGCCATTGCTCCTAGCCCTCTTTCCACGGCCACAGAGAAAAGCCCATTTTCAGCTTCTCTGTAATCATACTTCAGGTGTTTGAAAACTGTTGTCAAATTCCCTCCATCCATCTTCTCTTCTTCCAACTAAATTACCCTAGTTCTTTCAGCTTTTCCCCATGTGTCTTGCTTCCCAAGCCCCTTCCAAACTCTCCACATCCTTCTTGAAGTGTAGGGCCCCGAACTGGACACACTACTCCAGGTGAGGCCTTGCCAGTGCTGGACACAGCACAGGACTCACTTCCCTTGATTTGCAAGTGACACTTCTGTTAAGACAACCCTGTATGCTGTTGACTTTTTTTTGCAACTAGAGCTCATTGTTGGCTTATATTCAGCTTATGGTCTACTGAACCCCAAGGTCCTTTACTGCAGTACTTCAGCCTAGCTAGTCACTCCCCAGTTTGTATTTGTTCATGTAGTTATTTGTCGTATGTGCAGGACTTTGCACTTGCCTTTAATTAATGTCTTCTGAGTGATTGCAGACCATTTTCCCAGTCTATTCAGCTCATTCTGAATCCTAGCCCTACCCACCACAGTGTCTGCAACTCCACTCAACTTGGTGTCATCTTCAAATTTGTCAATCCCATCATCCAAATCATTAACGAAGATGTTAATCATTACTGGACCAAGGACAGACCCCCCGGGGAACCCTACTTGATGCTGCCTTCCAACTAGACATTGAACCACTGATGACTACTTGTTGAACACAATGACCCAACCAGTTACATATCCACTTTACCATACAGTATTTTCATCTAGCTTGCTATGTTTCCTTAACTTGTTAATGAGACTTGTGCCTTGCTTAAGTTAAGTTATATCACATCCACTGCTCTTCCCCCATCCACAGAGCCTGTCACCTTAGCATACGAGGAAATCAGTTTGGTCAGGCATGACTTGCTCTTGATGAGTCCATGCCGGCTGTTCCTAATCACCTTGTACTTCTCTAGGTGCTTCACAATAGATACCTTGAGGACCTGCTCCATGGTCTTTCCAGGTATTGAGGTCAGATTGATGGGTCTGTAATTCCCCAGATCCTCTTCTTTCTCTTTCATACAGATGGACACTATATTTGCCCTTTTCAAGTCACCTGGGACTTCACCCAACCTCCACAACTTCTCAAATAGGATAGCCAATGGATCTGAAATTACCTCAGCCAATTCCTTCAGTACCCTAGGATGCATCCCATCCAGCCCTGATGTCTTGAAAGCATCTTGATTCTCTAAGTAATCCCTAACTTCTTCTTCCACTACTCTAGCCTGTTTGACTCCTATGGTTTCACTAGTTTTCCCCTTCTGACATACCTGTAGAATCTCTTTTTATTGCTTTTTATGGCCTTTGCTAGTTGTATCTCAAATCATGTCTTGGTGTTCTCTGTAATAGTGTGTTTCTCTCTGTAGTACCTTGGCCTGAGCTCCCTGCATCTCATTCTGCAGAGCTAGGTCCAGTTGTGGTTAGAGGGCCCAAGATGCAGCACAACTGCCCTGCTCGGGCGACTCTCAACACCCAAGCAGCCAGGAAGAATCTTCTTAATATGCCCTTTAATTCGTCCTTTCATCTCGCAGCATAGTGAGGGGGGCTTTAAACTAGATTTAATGGGGAAGGAAACAAACCTGAAAGGTAAGGAAGGAGCAAGGTTACCTGGATAAAGGCCAAGAAATGGGAGGTAAGGTTGTATGAAGTAAATTAGCTGGGTAATTGCTAGTATCTAAGACATGTATTTACTGATGCAAGAAACATAGAAAGCAAGCAGGAAGAGCTGGAAGTTCTAGCACACAGACAAAATTATGGGATAACTGAGATTTCATGAGAAAGTTCACATGACTGAATACTGTCATGGAAGGTGTAACTTGTTAAAGAAAGACAGGAAGGGTAAAAAGGAGGTGATGCTGCTTTATACATTAAAGATACACACAGTTGCTCTAAGATACAGCAGGAAGTGAGAAGTTCATCTCTAGAAAGGGTCTGGGTCAAGGCAAAACAGGAAATGCTTGATATGGGCATACCTGGGCACAAGTCCCAAAATTGTAGCCCAGCAAAAATGTGAAGGAGGAGGTGAGCCAGCCTTTGTTGTAGCGCAATAGTGTAGTGCTCTGTGCACTCACCCAAGAAGCAGGATACCCAGGGTTTAGGCCCCTCTACCCAGAGACTACATGTAGGTCTCCAGCTTCCTAGTTCAGTACTTTAACCACCAGTCCACCAGTTAGCATTGTCCAGCCCTCCCTTTGAAAATGGCCCCCTGGGCCTAGAGAAATCGAGGAATCTCAATCACTGCAAGTTTTGTAAGAGCATTTAGCTGGGATGGTTTAAAGAGGGCTGATTCTGCCCTGATCAGGGGGTCGGACTAAATGATCTTCTGAGGTCCCTTCCAGCCCTATTTTTCTTAAATTCAGAACCTGTCTTTCTTCTTCCAGACTCTTTGCATCTTCTGGAAGAAAAAAAAAAAACTACTCGGGAAGATTTTCATTCATGAAAAATTATTTTTTGGAAAACCAAAATGAAAATATTCATCCCCAAGCAAGTCCCTGACCTACCATTTTCTCTTTTCAGCCAAGAACTGGAAAGTCCCTGACCTACCATTTTCACTTTTCATCCAAGATCTGGAAATTGTCTGCACAAACAGGTATTTTCAGAACAATTTAGATTTGGCTGAAAAACAAATTTCTGTCCAAAACCAAAATGAAGCGATGTTTTGGTGGAGAAGCAAGTTCTGCTTCCAAGCACCTGCAGATTTGTGTTCCCAATGGCTGAGCTATGCAAAGTTACTCCCCTACTCTCTTCCCAGGAGTCACAATCCCCTGATCTGATCATTTTGTTGCAAGTCTTAAATAGCCTCCATTTTGGACAGAACACCTCCCTGCAATTGCAGCGACTGGACCTGCGCACATGTGCCTGGCAGTGTCTCACTTCCCGGTGGTACAACTGCTCTCCCAGCCCTGGGATCCCCATGCACAGTGCTGCTGATCCTCACCACTACCTGCTCTCCCTGTCCCAGACCACTCCTAAGCATATGAGCTAACTGGCTCTCAAGTGTATGACACCCATGTGGTCTCCCACGCCTTGACACTCATTCTTCAGAGATTTACAGTTAGTCTGGCTTCACTTTGCTCAGTGAAGGGTACCAGGTACTGAAATGATGCACAAGTAGCAACAGAGGGGTTCTTTTGCGTGTCCAGGAAACCAGTGATAGAGACTGAAATTTTGTGTTTCTTCTCAGACCAAAACAAGCTTTTTTATCTCCCTTGCCTCCTTGCTCCTGAACATATTATCAGGAGGCTAGTTAGGTCTCTGTAACCTATGGAGCCTGGAGGTTGGGCCTCCTCTCACTTTCTAAGCAGCTAGGCACTACCACAGTTATCCTTTCATGAATGCTGAAACAGCCACACACCACCCTCACACAACATGCTCCTGCTCTGCATGACCTGATTCCCCCACAAAGGCAAAATATTTTGCTGCCTGCGCCTATGATCTGCATTGCTCACAGGCTCACATTCTTGAGTGTTTCGGGGGGGTGTGGAGCAAGCACGAAGGAGCAGGACCTGTTTTTGTAACAGCATTTCTCAGCCTGATTGGAGGCAATATACACGCTCCCTTAAAGGCTTCAGCCAAGGTGGACATTGAATGAACTTGTAACAAAAGGCAGACCCTGACACAAAGAACTCCGAGTCTATCTAGCCAAGATGTGGGAGAGGGAACTGATGTGCAAAGGGAGGGGAAGGAGAGTGGGGACTTCACAGATTTCAAAGACGTTAGGGCTGGAAGAGACCTTGTGAGATCATTTGGTCCAGCCCCCTGCCCAAGGGCAGGAAGTCAGCCAGGGTCAGAGGACCCCAGCAAATAATAGTCCAAGCGCATCTTG